TATGCTTCCTAAATAAAGCCCTCTGAGGAGGAAAACTGGGAAAATAATAATTTCCCAACCTCATCACTTCAGAGGGATTACACTGTATGAAATTAGTACCTCGGCAATGAGTGACCTCTCACAGTTATTTTTCTCCAGAAAGTGACTTTAAACAAAAGTATCATGTGTCACTTTTAAGCTTAGAAACTTATTTTTTAAAATAAAATTAAAACATTTTTAAAAATGTGGTAGGACTTTTGATTTCAGAGTAATGCAATTCACTGTATTTCTATAAAGCATTTTTCCCCCTCTAAAATAAAAAATAGACCAGTTGTCTACAATATACATATACTTTTAAGATATCACAAAGCCTTTTACTTAAACCTAGAGGTAAATCTGAAATCTTTTGCAGAACCCTAGGTATTCTGAGATTCTATAAATTAATTATTTGCTTACTATTTATGCAGAAACCTGTAAGATACCCCTGTAATTTAAAAATGTTAATTTCTTATCTTTGCAGCAATACTAATGATACTGCTTTCATTAAAAATTACCATCATAAAATCATAGATTCATAGAGTATCCTGAGCTGGAAGGCACCCACAAGGATCGCTGAAGCTCTGCACAGGACATTCTCAAGACTCACACATCTTAATTCTACTTCTCCAAAGAAATTTAAATAATGGCTAATGCAATAAAAATATCATATGGAATTGGTCGCAGATGGTACAATGGACTGAATTATCTTCTTTCTGTTTATTTTCAGTTCCTCACAACAGGTATGTCACAACCAAATGCAAACATTTGTACATCAAACAACAAAAAAATGCCAACCATTATTACCTTAGGCTGGACTCTTTTATTTCTTCTCACTTGTAAACAAGAGTTACTGAAAAAGCTGAAATCACAGCAGCTCTCGCTGCTCCGTTCTTGCTTTTCCCATAATGACAAAGCTCCATGTTTTAAATCAGTCTCCATTAAATTGTTCTCTTTGTCATTTAAACCTGACACTGCAGTTAATCTGATCCAACCTGTGCCCCTCTGTGAATAAAAGCTTGGGCTGACTGATGATTTTTAGGGAGAGCTGGCTGGAATCAAGTCCCAGGTTGTTTTACCATGATCCCCAGCAATGACACAAACCAAACTGAGCTGAACTGGGAAGCTGATGCTCTGTGAAATCTTTGAGGACTTTACACCAGCACAACATGTTTGTCAATTAGACTCAGCAGTATTGCAAACCCATCCCTTGGGGTGCCTCATTTGTTTTGCTTTCCTTCCTTCTGTTTTTTAATTCTTTTTCAAAGACACAGCTGCAGCTTAACTCACTGCTCTGAACATGAACTGTCTAATGAGGGTAAATCCAAGGTAATTCCCAGTGTTATTGAGAATCCAAGCAGTGCCCCTGAGCACTCAGAACTCTTGACGATCATGGAATGAGCATTTCTAGGTAGTCTTGTCTCTGTTTACACCCCAATCTTCTATGGACCCCTTAGATATTCCATCAGCAAAATGCCTGCAGCTGGAGCAGCCTCAGCTTGGAATATTAAAGGAACAGACCTTGGTGGTCTTTTATTCAATTATTCCTGACAGACTTCATGGGGAAATATCTAATGCTTAGTTTCAATTCCTTATTTTCTTTACTTTTCTTGTGAGAATAATAAAGCAATTAATATTTTTTTAATGCAGAAAAGATGCAGATAGAAATTTTATTAAAGTGAAAGAAAAATGTTTTAAAAATAGAGGACCGATTAAAACAAATTAAAACAATAAAGCCACAGTGAGTTTGGAATTTAAAAAAATATATAAAAGAGATCTTTAAATCAGCTTTTCTTTTTTAATCATGGCATCATAGATTGGCCTGGGTTGGAAGGCACCTAAAAAATCATCCAGTTCCACCCCCCTGCCAGGGGCAGGGATATCTGCCACTATCCCAGGTTGCTCAGAGCCCCATCCAGCCTGCCCTTGGACACTTCCAGGGATGGGGCAGCCACAGCTTCTCTGGGCAGCCTGTGCCAAGGCCTCACCACCCTCACAGGGAACAATTTTTTCCCAATATTCAATCTAAACCTGCTCTCTGTCAGTGTGAAGCCATTCCTCATCCTGTCTCCCCTGGCCCTTGTCAAGAGCATCTCTCCATCTTTCCTGTGGGCTCCCTTCAATGAGGTCACCCCAAAAAAAAACAGAGGAAAACTTTCTATTGACATGAAAGTGCCAGTGAGCCATTTAATAGAAAAGGCATATGACAAATGTAATTAGAAGGACTGGATAAATACAGGAAGGAACTTCAGCACTATAAATGAGCTGCCTAATTGTTACCAGAAAAAGGAAAAAAAATCAAACAACACAAACAATAACAAAAAAAGGAAGTCTTTGTCTTCCCAACATTTTGAATTGGGCCCGTGAAAGAAATCACTTATCTCTCCAAACCTCACTTCACTTATAACTTCAGTCATCACAACTGCAATTATATGGCTCCTATTTATAAAAAAAAAAAAAAAAAAAAAAAAGGACACTACTATCCATAGGTTTTTGAACAGAATAAAAACAGATATAATTATTACATGGAAATATGCAAAGGCAGGATGCAACTTCCCAGGACATCCCTGTGCCTACATTTTCCTCTAGACCAGCTCTGAGTGTTTTGGATGATTCTGTGTTCTTTTAAGGGCTGTGAAGCCCAGGGATCTTGTTTAGGGAGGCTGGATGGCCTTCTGATGTAATCTACTTTCAGCTCTTGCAAGATGTCTACAAAAGCCAATTTTCAGGAGCGCTGCAGGCACTTGGGCATATCAGGAATGCAGGTGCATGCCTGTTGCAGTGGCTGGCTGCTGTCCACTTCTTCCCATCCCCCAGGCAGTGGAGAGTGCTGAAAACCCCTGGGATTCAGGCTGCTGTCTGCATTTCACATGCTGTGTACTCAGATATGTCTTGAACAATGTGCTTGGCCTCCTTTTCTCCAGGCTGAACACCCCCACTCACTCCTCACAGGACTCACTCTTTAAGTATCTATCTCAGTATCTACATATGCTGAATTTTAATACAGTAATCTCAATATATTGATGATAAACGGGCCAAAAAGTCCATGCCTGGCACATGTGCATTGCTGTCTTTAATTAAATCGTAGATTTCAGGTATATATTTTGCCTCTCTTTGGGGAGGAGGAATTTGTCAGAAATCATCCCCCAGTGGTGTTTCAGGAGAAATATGTATTTATTAAAAGAGCTTTCATATTATTTGTAGAAAACATTTTAATAGTACTCTGCTAATGTGCATTATAAATTCTCAGAATATTAGGGAGATTTCAAAGGAGAACTGTTTCATACACATTACTGTACAAAGAATAATTACAATTAGAGGATCTCAAGCAGTGGCTTCAAATCTAAACAATTCTGTGACAGAGATATTGCAGCATCACTCTTACCACACCAGCCATGTGTTTTCAGGAATATTACCACAGCCTTGTCTTGCTCATTGCACAACAACACTCACTTTACACCCTTTGTAAGACCTCTCCGCATGTTCAGCTACAGAGTGCAAACTAATGTCATCATCAGGACAGTAGTAAATCATATCACATGCTAACAAATGCAGAATTTGCTCATAAATCCATTTTTTTTTCCTTTGCACAGAAGAAATGAAGAGTCTACAGAGGAGCTACTGGCAGTATGTGTGGGTAACATGTTTCAGGAATGATATGGATGAAAATTTGGGAGTTAGGCAGTGTTCCCACTTAGGAACAGGCTGTGATGTGTGGAGGACAGAATGCTTCCCATCAACTTCAATAACACTCTTCCCCACTCTTTTGGGAGCAGCTGGAAAAATCTGCCTCCAAATTTCTTTGGCAAGAAAGATGAATCAAAGCAAATGAGGAAAGGGGAAGGAGAAGCTGATCTCAGACAAGCTCCAAACGGGATATAGCTCAGTAGAGAATGTGTTCTCCGTTATCACTTATTATTGCAACCTCACTGGGGCTAGTGAAGGTACAGAGCACAAAGGTGATGGATGAGAATCAGACTTGATTCCATACACAACCCCCCACCCAAATCATAGGTGGAAAACACATCTCCTACTGGCCATGATTCTTCTTAAAATGTTCACTTCCAAACTATTCAGTGCTACCTATCTCTCTTGCTGCTTTGAATGTCCCCAGGATCTTTGGCAGCTCTCCACATTTGCAGTTCCTTTTCAGGTAGCCTAACTGCAGCCAACTCTGGGTAAATATATATCATCTGTCTTCAATTTATGGGCAAGATTCAGCCTTCCCAGAACAGGCTTTGTGCAGGTGGAAGCGCAGGTGGAATGAGTGGGAGCACCAGAACCCATCCACGTGGTAGGAGAATGAGCTTAAAAGAGTTTCAGTTAATGATCTTTCTCCCAAGAAAAACAGCTGGCCTGCCTTCCCAAAACCTGGCAGTAGCTTCGTGGTTACATCTCCACAGCCACATGAACACAGCCAAAGGGAACATTTTTTACAAGGGAATTGAGTTCTACCTAAAATCACTGCAGGACTTCAGATGTTCTCAGAGATTATTTACAATGGCATGGAGTGACAAGACATGGGGGAAAGACTTAAAATTGAAAGAGAGTAGGTTTAGATTGCATATTATGAAGAAATTCTTCCCTGTGAGGATAGTGATGTGTATTAAAACTCTGTATCCATGTGTATGAGGACACAGCAGGTTCATCATAATACCCAAAGAATCATAGAATCTTGGAATGGCAGGGGTTGGAAGGGTCCTTAAAGCCCATCCAGTTCTACTCCCCAGCCATGGGCAGGGACACCTTTCAATATCTCAGCTTGCTCAGAGCCTCATCCAGCCTGGCCTTGGACACTTCCAGGAATGGGGCAGCCACAGCTTCTCTGGACAACCTGTGCCTAACCACCATGACAGGGATAGTGACTCCACCACCTTCCTGTGCAGCCCATTCCAATGTCCAATCATCTCGAGTTTCCTGCTGTCGGGATGACCCAAGAGTCCCTTTTTCCCAGCCCAATGGCCGAAGAGTCAGGATTCTTCAGCTCTGATTCACAAGGTTGTTTATTATCTGTTATCTAAAATATTTTCTCTCACACCTGCAGAGGTCTGATCTGCAGGTCTGTCAAGGGCACACTGCACTGCCCTGAGGCAGAGCTATCTCTTTATACTGAAAACTATGTGGACTTTAATTACAGCTATTTCCCAATACCTATCACCTATGTTAGACTGTCTACTTCTACTCTAGACCAATCTAAATGTGCCACCATGACCAAGAAGATGGAGGCTAGAAAGAAGAAGGAAGAAGGACAGGGAACGCCCAAATTCCTCCATCTTGGGACTCCAAACCCCCGTTCGAAAACTTCAAAATTCTACTTTCCACCCTGTGACAACTACTATTATGCCACTTAAACTTTTGTGACTTCTAATTCTTCATACAAAGTTGGTAATTTGCTCCATGGGTTAAGATCAAAATCCCAAGTGTCTTTGGCTTCCTGCCAGGGTCTCTGAGCCTCTGCCAGGATCTCCAAGCCCCTACCAGGGGCACAAGCCATCCAGGGCACCCAGAGGGATGTCCTGGGTTCCAACATCTCCCCCTTCTGTTTGCACCAAAAACAGGTCTTTGGCAGCCTTATTCAAGGCTTGCCACATGCACTGAAAAATGCATGGCACAAGGAGCAGAAGTCCCACTAAAATGTAAAAAGCTACCATCTAACAAAAAATCTACAACATCCCTGATTCCCACACCCATGAAGAAACCCAAAGTCCACAATCTTCTGTGGGCGAAGCACAAGGGTTGGAATCTCTGCGCAGTCCACACTGTGTGTCTTCTTTGCTTGTGGAGTGGTCAGCGTTTTCTTGCACTTGATAGAGTTTTACATTCTTCACTGAAATTCACCTGGACTTTGCACCTGCTAAAACACAAACAAATCCCACATCCCCACAGGGGCTGAAGGATTTTCTCAAAATCCTGGAGGTGAAGAATGGGTCCTGGTTCCATTTTGCAATGTTACATAGAGAAATGTAAGATAACAGTAATTATGAATTGAATTAGATAATACACATAATCAATAACACATACAAGATTATACAATTACTAAACACTACAACACTGAACTGTCATCCCAGATTCTGCAACAGCTGATAAACCTTAAAACAACAGAAAACTGGAGAAATCATGTCTGGATTCATGTTTCTCCAAACTCCCTCTGAAAATAGGCTCAGCCATCATAGATGGTCAAATTGCCAAGTCAAAAAGACTTGAATATTTTTGTGCAGAAAACATCTGGGTTGATTGTCAATCACTCCATCCAAATAAAGTTAGAACTTGGTGAGAGCCCAAACTCTAATTGGTGGGTATCACTTGACACATTTTTTAAACAATACTCTTAAAAACAACAGTTATAAACAAGAAACCTCAGGGTTACAAACCAATAGAACCATCTAACAACCGAATCCCTTCCAAAGTCTCTGTCAGGATAGAGATCCCCCAAACACACAAACTTCTTGAATTTTATACTGGAATACTTCTGTAATAATAATTAAAAGAACCCAAGACTGGCAATCTGGATTAAAAAAAACCTCAGAAATATAGTAGTTAGGAAATAAAAACCAGGATCCTGAAGACACACGTGACTTGCAGGTGATCGCACAAAGAGATAGGAAAACACATGAAAGCCGGCTGCAAATGCTACAACAACACACCCAACAACAATTCTCAACGCAAAAATCTGAAAACTCACAACACAAAATCAACTCATCAACAAGAAGTGTTTGAAGGGGTTAAGACAACCTGCCCAAAGCATTAACAACAATCACCAACTATCAGCATTCCTTACCAAAACCAAAAATAACAAAGGTTATAAACTCAATACTAGCAATCCCTAGAACTCTGAACCACTAGGGAATCAATTGATGACTCCACAAACAGGATCTGATTGACACTTCCAAAATGCTCTGTCTTCTGAGACACCCTGGGTAATTGAATCATTACTAATACTTTCATCTTTACATGACACTTTGTCTCCCTGGGAATAATTTTTCACAATAGAAGATTTCTATCTATATCATATTTGGAATTATATTCATTTGCATGGGGTTCTCTTTTTTTTTTTCTGCATCTTGGGCAAAGACTTGCTGCTTTCTCACTTTTCAGATGAAGATTCTGGATAGTTCTTTTTCCACATGTCCATGTCTTCTGCATCTGAAGCATGGCCCTGTAGCAAATGCTGTTGCCATCGCTTCTGTGCAACTGGCCTGTGGAAGAGCTGGGTGAAGTGCCCCACATAACATCTGGTGCATTTTCTGTGGAGTTGCCCTGTTAAAAAACTGGATAAAGCACTGTGAGGGTTCTCAGAAATTTCCCATCTTGTCCTTGAAGAAGTTTCCTGATCTCTTTTTTTTTCCCCAAACGCCTGCTCGGAGCGCCGCGATGCGCTGGCTGCTGTGGTTGCCTGGCAACCGTGACAGGGTGTTGCCTTGGAGAACCGCTCCGCCCTGACCAGGCCCCGTGCTGCCTGTGTCACCACGGGCGTGTGGCCGTCTCTGCCCCGACCAGGCCCCGTCTCCGCCCGCTCTGGCACAGGCTCAGCCTGCACTATCTCGGGGGTGGGGAAAGGAACGCCCCTGCCCTGGCCGCGCCCCGCCTGCACCGGCTCTGGGGCAGCCGCGCCCTCGGGAACGCCTCCCTCCAGCCCGGGATTGACACTCGCGCTGCCCGGGTGCCATTCGAGCTCCACCCCGCCCGGACACGCGCAGCTCCGACGTCGTTTGGTGTTTGCTGTGCCTGGCTCTCGGCCTGGGCTCGCCTCCCTGGCTCCGTGCCAACACCCGCACTCGGCGGGAGCATCTCCCGCACCCGTGGGACGGGAGAAAACCTTCCCCGCTCCACTTCTGGGGTTTGCGTCATCAACGCGCGTCTGCCGCATCCCGCTGCCGCCGCGGCGGCTCCCGCGGTCCCGCGCTCCGCTCCGCCCGGCCCGGCCCCACAGGGCCCTGCCTCCGCCCCCGCCCCGACAGCTTTCGTGGGACTGGCAGAGGTGTCTGTGGAGACCCTGAGGGTGATGACGACGACCCCCCCCCCACCTTTTTCGTGGGAGTCGTTTGTGCTCTTCCTAACTTGCTAGGAGTAACCCTGTCCTGCTGCTGGCAGGGCGATTTGTGCTGCCTGCTGATGGCAGGTACCCCCGCGGCATTCCGCGAAATCGTCTCCAGCATTGTTCCCGCCTGAGCCAAAAGTCTAAAGGCCGTTTTATCTTTCCCTGTTGGTAAATGATAAAAGTGTCCATTAATCTCCCTGAGTTGTTCCTGGGAATAAACTTTCCCCATGTTCTCAGTTTCCCGGTTCTTACCAAAAGCTGAGTCACTTTCAAAGCCGGTCCGGGGTTTTCCTGGTCACTGGCTATTGGAACCCAGGACATCTCTCTGGGTGCCCTGGATGGCTTGTGCCCCTGGTAGGGGCTTGGAGATCCTGGCAGAGGCTCAGAGACCCTGGCAGGAAGCCAAAGACACTTGGGATTTTGATCTTAACCCATGGAGCAAATTACCAACTTTGTATGAAGAATTAGAAGTCACAAAAGTTTAAGTGGCATAATAGTAGTTGTCACAGGGTGGAAAGTAGAATTTTGAAGTTTTCGAACGGGGGTTTGGAGTCCCAAGATGGAGGAATTTGGGCGTTCCCTGTCCTTCTTCCTTCTTCTTTCTAGCCTCCATCTTCTTGGTCATGGTGGCACATTTAGATTGGTCTAGAGTAGAAGTAGACAGTCTAACATAGGTGATAGGTATTGGGAAATAGCTGTAAATAAAGTCCACATAGTTTTCAGTATAAAGAGATAGCTCTGCCTCAGGGCAGTGCAGTGTGCCCTTGACAGACCTGCAGATCAGACTTCTGCGGATCTGAGAGAAAATATTTGGGATAATAGATAATAAACAACCTTGTGAACCAAAGAATCCTGACTCTTTCTTTGACTACCGGGCTGGGAAAAAAGAACTCTCGGGTCATCCCGAAAGCAAGAAAACCTGAGAACTGGCCAGCAGCTCCACCTATGGTGGAGAACATCCAGGGCCCTTTGGTTGTCCTCCTTCCAGGTCAATTTTGAAGTAAGTTGCCTTGGCAAGTTGTCTGCTTTGAAATTTTTCCTCGGTGGTGTGCCTCTTCCTGGGCTGTTCAGTGGTCTGGGTCTCTGCTTCTGCGGATCTGAGAGAAAATATTTGGGATAATAGATAATAAACAACCTTGTGAACCAAAGAATCCTGACTCTTTCTTTGACTACCGGGCTGGGAAAAAAGAACTCTCGGGTCATCCCGAAAGCAAGAAAACCTGAGAACTGGCCAGCAGCTCATAGGTGGAGAACATCCAGGGCCCTTTGGTTGTCCTCCTTCCAGGTCAATTTTGAAGTAAGTTGCCTTGGCAAGTTGTCTGCTTTGAAATTTTTCCTCGGTGGTGTGCCTCTTCCTGGGCTGTTCAGTGGTCTGGGTCTCTGGCTGGATCCTTCTCTGACCAGTTCCCAGCAGTGCCTCCAATTCTCGAGTTTCCTGCTGTCGGGATGACCCAACAGTCCCTTTTTCCCAGCCCGATGGCCGAAGAGTCAGGATTCTTCAGCTCTGATTCACAAGGTTGTTTATTATCTGTTATCTAAAATATTTTCTCTCACACCTGCAGAGGTCTGATCTGCAGGTCTGTCAAGGGCACACTGCACTGTCCTGAGGCAGAGCTATCTCTTTATACTGAAAACTATGTGGACTTTAATTACAGCTATTTCCCAATACCTATCACCTATGTTAGACTGTCTACTTCTACTCTAGACCAATCTAAATGTGCCACCATGACCAAGAAGATGGAGGCTAGAAAGAAGAAGGAAGAAGGACAGGGAACGCCCAAATTCCTCCATCTTGGGACTCCAAACCCCCGTTTGAAAACTTCAAAATTCTACTTTCCACCCTGTGACAACTACTATTATGCCACTTAAACTTTTGTGACTTCTAATTCTTCATACAAAGTTGGTAATTTGCTCCATGGGTTAAGATCAAAATCCCAAGTGTCTTTGGCTTCCTGCCAGGATCTCCACGCCCCTACCAGGGGCACAAGCCATCCAGGGCACCCAGAGGGATGTCCTGGGTTCCGACACAATCACCCTTTCTGTGAAGAAATTCTTCCTGAAAACTGGCTAATTGCTGTGTATTTTCAATTCAGGGAAGCACCATAGCATTCGAAGTTCCTGGGGAGTTCCATTTATGCCTCTATCTTCTGGCATCTATGCAGCTCTCCTAACTTTGTTGTCCTGAATGCATCTCTTTTCCTCACTTAGATATGTTGAGGAAGATCAAGGAATCACAGAAATAAAGCATAAGGCTGGAAGGGACCAGTACATCATCTTGTCCCACCTCCCTGTTCTGCAGGACCGTCCCAGAGCACAGGGCACAGGATTGCCTCCAGATGGTTGTGGAATATCCTCAGTGAGGAGACTCCACACCCTCTCTGGACAATCTGTTCAGTGCTTGGTCACTGCCCAGGACAGAAGTTCTGCCTCCTGCCCAGGTGGAACCTCCTGGGATCAGTCCCTGCCCGTTCCTCTGGTGCCATTGCTGGGCCCCTGGAGCAGAGCCTGGGCCTGCTCAGAGCCCTCCCTGCAGACAGGGACACCCACGGCTGAGGGCCCCTCTCAGCTGGGGCTCCTCAGGAAGCTGGACAGCCCCAGCTCCCTCAGCCTTTCCCTGCCAGAGATGCTCCAGGCCCTAAATCATCTCTGCATCCTCCACTGGCCCTGCTCCAGGAGCTCCATGTCCCTTCTGTGCTGAGGAGCTCAGGACTGGACACAGCACTGCAGATGTGCCTTGCAGGGCTGAGTAAGATTTGCCCATTCTTACATTTTTGACTTACTGTTCCTTATGAAATCATGACAGAGACTCAGAAGCAGCTGTGAACCCCACTCACAAAGTGCATCAACTTGACTTTTACCCAGGAAGGGGCTAACTTATGCTCAAGAAAAATTATATCAAATACCTGGAGAAGAACTTCTAATTTTTGTACGTAAAAGCTTATCACTGAATTAAATAATGCAAGAAATACCTACTAACATTATAAGTCACTGATCTGTGAAAATGTATTAGAGTGAGGCTGTGTTGTTGATAATACTTGACAAAAGTTATTTAAGGCTTATTAAATTCCGTTTTGTTTTTCTGTTCTTGATACTATGCTCACACTTGTCATCTGACCCTTTGACATGCAAACACTTTGCAAATACACGTGATAGCCACATAGCTCCACTGCACTGGAATGACAGTTTGATGTTATTATGCCCTCTAATGTTCACTTCCTACATAGCTACAGACTTAACATTCTAAAAAATATGCACCTATCTACTAACCTTTATGCTGGGATGGGGTTGACAACGTATTTCTGAAAGAACGTCCTGATTATAACTCTTTGGAATCTTCAGCTTAATGAATCCTGCAAAGATAATAAAATGAAAGCAAGACTTACACAGATTTACTGGAAGTTAAAAAAAAAGTGTAACAAATCTCTCATCTGTTCAAGAAGGCAAACAGAAAGAGAATCTGCTCTACAAGATGGTCTGTCATCAAGCAGATAAATATCATCTGGGTTTCAATCAGTTCTATTTCTCATGATTTCTTTGTACATTGGAGTATTGTAAATGTTCCCAAGGGCTGTCAGTATGAAAAAGAATTTGGAGAAGGAATTGAGATGTCTGAGCATTAAACAGAGCTTTAATACACTAAGGACCATGTAGATTCTTTTACAGTCGAGGCCAGTTAAGTCCTTCCATGCTCTTATTCAGCTGAGGCTAGAAAAAACTAACCTTTAAATTTTGAGTTACATTCAATAACAATTAAAAAAAAAAACAAATAATGGGGGAAATACAAAATGCAATAAAAAGAAATTTCAGCTTTTTAGTATCCCAAATATACAGGAAAAACTCATGGTCCAAGTCTTCATTTAAATGTACACAAGTGTTATAAATATTGGGGGTGTGAAGACAGATTCAGCACAGCAGAAACAGCCTCGACCCAAAAAAGGGTTTTTTTTCATCACAGCTTTTTGGCTTCTTCTCAAGAGAACAATGTCACACCTGAGTGGAGACAGAACAGAAATTCTTTGTAAGCAGCAGGACGAAGTGTTTTAAATGCAAAGAGCAGGGTTTTGTTCAGAGGGTCACCAGAAGTGGTAACATCCTGTTTTCATCTTTGTGGTTTGCACTGATACGCTTCGAGTCTGTTGGGTTAACGAAAGTTGGGAGAATGAAAGTGATCTGACATGAAAGGCAGAATAAATTTATCTGCTCAGAGCAAATTACACCCAACTCCTCTACTAAAAATTAAATAGCAGTTTATGGAATTCCTGATGCAACTGATCTCAGGAAATGGCATTTGGGCAGTTGTTTCTCTAGAAAAATAATGGGAAAAGATTTGTTTCCCTTATTAAATCCCATGTCTCTAAATAAGCATTAAGATACATCTTTATTATTTAGCCACATTAAAGATACAGATTTTCATATTAACAGAATATCTGAGAATAACCAATATAGACCTGGGAAATTAAGGTTTTGGATCTTCTGGATTACAGAAGGTAACAGTAACACTCTTAAAAGGTTCTGAATCAAAAACTAAATTCTGTTTTTTTCAGAAATAATGAAAGCTGGAACAGTGATCTTTGCCTTATGATAACCTGATTGACAATGCATCAGGAGCAAACAGACAACCAATCTGCAAGGAATGAGTGAAACCATTAAGAGAAGGCTTTGCAAAGGCATGGATTACACCTGAAGGATGAGACGTCCAGAGGTACCTGGACACTGCAGAAGTGGCCCATGAGAATCTCATGGGGTTTAACAGGACCAAGTGCTGGTGCTGTACCTGGGATCGATCCAGGCTGGGGATGAGCAGAGGGAGCAGCCCTGGCAGAAGGACTTGGGGGTGCTGTGAGTGAGAACCGGCCCTGCCCCAACCCAGAACCCCCCTGTGCTGGGCTGCACCCAGAGCCCCAGGGCAGCAGGGCAGGGGGGATTCTGCCTCTCTGCCCCACTCTGCTGAGTGCCCCCTGCAGGGCTGCATCCAGCCCTGGGGCCAGCACAGGAAGGACTGGGAGCTGCTGGAGCCAGGCCAGAGCAGGGACACCAAGGGGATCAGAGGGATGGAGCAGCTCTGCTGGGAGGAAAGGCTGAGGGAATTGGGAGTGTTCAGCCTCGAGAAGAGATGACTTTGGGGTGACTTCATTGTGGCCTTCCAGTGCCTGAAGGGAACCTACAGGAAAGATGGAGAGAGACTCTTGACAAGGGCTTGGAGTGACAGGACAAGGGGCAATGGCTTCGCACTGACACAGGGTGGGTTTAGATTGGGTATTAGGAAAAAATTGCTCCCTGTGAGGGTGGTCAGGCTCTGGCACAGGTTGCCCAGAGAAGCTGTGGCTGCCCCATCCCTGGAAGTGTCCAAGGCCAGGCTGGATGGGGCTCTGAGGAACCAGTGATAGTGGAAGGTGCCCCTGCCTATGGTGGGGTTTGGGGCTGGATGATCTTTAAAGTGCCTTCCAACCCCAGCCATTCCATGATTCTATTGTATTCCTTTGTTACTGCAATTCCCTTAGACACAACTAATACATGGAGAAATGGATCTGCTGCCATTCACTGTAATCAATAGGCTTAGATAGAAAATTACTGATGCTGTGGATTAGTAAAAGCTCAGTTTCATTAATCAATAGCAATCACTTCACCGCTTTACAAAACCCCTACCTTAGCATGGTATCATGATCCTCAATGAAGCCCCCAGAGCTCCAAGGCAATTCCTCATTGTCTGAGCCTGACTAATGCTGCTGACTTCCAGTAAGAGCATACACAGGCAAAAATATCTGCCAGACTGCAACCAACATTTAAAGTGACCTTCAAAATTAATACATTCAAGGAATACAGTTAGACATTATAAAGTATTTTATTTTAGCTTTTTTTTTTTTTTTTCAAAAAATATAACATTCTAAAAAACATTTCCCTATCATACTGCTGTAGTGCTGTTCAGACTATGTTAATGCCAAGACTTTAGGTATTAAAGAATTAAAATTATCACAAACCAACATCTCTGAATATAATACATCAAAAAGCTGATGGCCAGATGTCATTTTGATTAAACAACATTAGTATTCAGTAGCACTTAAAAAATGCCTAGCAATTTGCAGAATAAAAACTCATCCTAACATCAGACACATCCATAATAAGAGTCCTCCAAAATGGATGATTCCAGGATGCTGCCCACCCTCTGTTTATCAGCAAAACCCTTTGCACAGTCTTTTCCTCTGTGTGGCACTTTGTCACTGACCATTTAACTTGTGGTAGCACTGGGATGGAGAGGTTTGACTCTTGCCAGTCTGGAGAGGCCAAGTCTTAGGCAGTGAGTAGGTGACTTAACAGGAACACATTTCACAGAAGCATTACTGCTTCCTGACGGAGCTAGAGATGATTTTAAAACAAAAAGGTATTAGAAGTTTAAAGGGGGGAAAAGGATCATATGACTGTTATCTTCTAATAGTTTTCCCAGCAGGATAAAAGAAGCCTTCTGAAGAGAGTGCAAAAAGGTCCAAATCACAGAGGCACATGGAAATCACTCACCAGGAATTCCTCCCTCTGGGAGCCAGTGCAGCAGGAATGGTGCACAGGTTAATTACCCAGCCACACACTGCAGCAACACTGGGCAACTGTTCCCAGTGTCCTGGGCATTTTCAGGCACTCCACAGAGAAATACTGTACACAACTCCAATGGGGAAACATGGACTTGAGAGAAAGGAGCCAAACAGAACCACATACAGAAAAGAAGAGCAAATATGAAGAAAAATCAAAGAATCAGGAGTCAGCAGCAGCATGCTCAAACACCTCGAGAAAATAAAGCTTTTAAGCATTTGCTTTATTAGAGCAGCTAAAATACTCCAGCATTTTTAAAATATTCTTTGTTTAGAGCAGATAATAATTTAGCACATACCAGAAATAAAGAAAGCTCTAAATAAGAGATAAATTGACATGGAAAGGATCTTTTGATTAAGGTCTGATCCACAGTTTGGAAAACATTTTGTAAGCCCCATGCAGATAAAGCAGCTAAGGATAATGCTGCAAATGAAATATAGATATAGCTATTCTTCCCTTCTCTCTTTTTTGTTTTAAATCTGTCCAAAGAAAATCCCTGTAAAATATATATAAAGGGCAGGCATTTTCCTGGAATAGTTTCTGTTTGCTTTTAGGAGAGATTGGTAAAAGCTTAAGTCAACTCATGTATGTGTCTACAGCAGCAGCCTCACCCATACCTGGTGGTGTCCATTTAGGCTTTTTGTCTGTGACAGGACTTGATGCATGTAGAGGCCTCCCAGCTGCTTCCAAGGGACTGGACATCACCTTCTGCCTTGGCTCAGAGTTGTGTTCCAATATCCGGGAAGGAGAAACTATAGGTGAAACTGGGATGGAAAATAATTACTTTAGAAAGATGCTCTTTAGCAGAGAAATCATCATTTAAGATGATGGACCACTGGACATCAGAAATAATGAGGATGGTACTAGACTGTCCCATCTTGAAGCAGTAAGTATTTACATAGACACCTTGCCTGTTAGGGAATGACAGAGACATGGATGCAGCTTGCGCTTCCAAAAGATGACACTCACAGGAAGGAAAGAAGGAAGGCTTACTTACTTTTTAAAATAAGACTAAACAAAGCCAACAGTGAAAGCTCCAACACCTGACACTACTCCAGAGTCACTGTTTTGACACAAACCCCAGAAAACAATGCAACAATGAACAGAGGATCTTTCCTTTAAGATCCTTTCCTTTAAGATCCTTTCCTCATTTCCTTTAAATGTCTTTAAACTTTCCTGTAAGGAGGGCAGAAGGAATTTCTCCTGACATACAAATGCAGAAAAGCAGTGACATTTTGCTGGTCTGGGAGTGAATAAGCTCCAGTGAGTAAATTTAGTGTCAGAGTGCAAATGAGATGTCATGAGTATGAGGGGATAATGCTTCAGTAAGGGGAGAGTAAGGGAAAATGCAGTCAAAGCAGCACGAATTTCACTAAAAATCCAAACTAAACGTAAGGCATCACATCCAAAGCAAATCTAAGGAGGGGGTTTTGGTAGAGAAGAACTTACTGGGTACAGACCCTCGCTCAGAATCAGGATCATGGGCTCTGTCATCACTGTCAACCACCAGTGACTTGTGATGTGCTGGACCTTTGGTTGCTGCTGTCCTTTGCTTCCCATCACCCTCAGGTGCCTCATCATCCATAACCTCATTGAGACCTACAAAACAGAAAGTGATTAAATCAGCTCAAATTCACAGTAAATCTATTTTCTTCCTCTACAATACATTGGTATCTGAATGCCCAGAATTAATTTTCGTGATATGAAGTCATACTGTTCAGAAACATATCACTGATGCCTGTTTTCATGTGATTCTCATTCTGTTTTTTCACTGTCAAATTTATCAGCATTTAACTGTAATCAGGCGAACAAAATGAAGACCAAAAATTCACCAATCCACAGGTTTGCTCATTTTAAGACTGGGGCCAAATTTTTAATGAAAGAATCTACACATCCTTCAACCTTTATTTAAGATAAAGACCCTTTTTTCCACATAACAAAAAAAAAAAAAAAAAGAAACCAATGGAAACAAAAAAGAGTAAAGGTATTTAAATATTTTTTGTCAGAAGAGCGCGAGAACAACTTACCTAAAAGTTCACTGTCTACACTGCAGTTGGAAAAAGGGGGTCTCCTCTGTGTATTTTCTAATTCAATATTCTTACCTGTTTTAAGATCCAGGGAAAAAGATTAAAAATACTCTATAAAAACACATTATAGAAGTAAAAATACATTATAAAAAACACATTATAAAAAGTAAAAATAGCAAGAAATTAAAATAGCTGAAGTTTTTATCTGTGTCTAATCCAAGTATATATTTGGAAAATCTTATAGAAGAGTTACTTCTCTCACAGAAAAAAAAAACCCCAAGAACATAAGAAATCAGGCAATACCTAGAAACTCTCTCCTGTCAAGACATCTTGAAATAAAATATAATTTTCAATCTGTTTCAGGGTAAAATAAAATCCCATGGTCAAATTCACTGCATATAAATAAAGAGTGTTGCATGGAACTGTAAAGTAACCTTGTTTTTCTGAATTTTGCACTTTTTGAGGATCTGCAGATTTTTCTTTCACAGATAAGGCTAAGGCAACTTCCAAATCTCTTTTATAAAGTTTCTCGTCCAACGATAACCTAGGAAAAAAATGACAACATGTTCAATAATAAAACAATTACATGAGTGTTATAGAACTATTTCTGGCTCAGCAAACTCTGTAAAATTTAGGTACTTGTGAAGAGATTAATATTTCAATACATATTTATAGCACATTTTGTTACAATTGTTACATTTTGAAATTATTTGGACAAAACACACACTAACTTTTAAAGCACTCTATACTTTAAAGCATTATAATTGTAAAACTACATGTGTGCATATATATACATATATATAAATATATGAACTATTAACTGGCATTACTGCAGAAAAAAAAGGTGATTGCCTTTGCTTGAAATGCCACTCCAAAATGTAATATTTAAACACAACTCAACTAATAAAAATTATATTTCTCTTTTTCATTGACACTGACTTTGTATCTTCCTTTAAATATGTTCTTTCCGAAGAAATCAAACTTGCTTTTATGTTTCTCTGGTTTAGGAGTCCCTAAGAAACTCAGAAGTTTTAGAGTTATTTGAAAGTGCATTAATACAGCTCAAAGTCTTTACTACAGTCATGTATTACTTGATTGTTCTCAGCTGCTTAAAACTCTAGGGGAAAAGAAACCAAACCAAAGCATTCTTATTGAAATCCATTTTTACACAGAGTTGACCACAACGTTTCTTACCTCTTACTAAGTGTCTGTGTCTGTGATGGAGTCACTTCTTTGGGCTTTTTTGACTTCGTTTTTTTCTCCTTCTTTGATTCCTTGAGCTGTGTTCTAGATTTTTTGCTTGAAGGTGCAAAGTCTTCATCTGTTAGAAAACAGCAACAAGCTCTCTTGAGTTTTCCTATATTCCTAAAATTTCATCATTTTCATTGCACACTGAAAATATATCAAGATAATGTTTTCTGGAAACTAATCCTATTTTAAAAGAACACAACAACTATAACTGCACTATCCTTAAATGTATTTAAAATGAAAATTCAACAGACCCTCTTTTACAAGTGCTTTTATGTGAAAGGCAATGATTTAAAATTCTTGATGTACAAGAACACCCCACTTACCATCATCTTCCAAATCCCCAAACTGAGAATAATCAACAACTTTCTTGTTTCTGTGGAAAAAAAAAATTATATATATACACATATGCTATCAATCCTTTCTGACTGAGCATCTTGATTTGGTAACACTTTTGGGAAGATCATGTTTTACAAGGGATAAAATAGCAATACATGTTCAGGTGGACAGAATCTCCGAATCATGGATTATCCATGAGTTGGAAGGGATTCACAAGGATTATCCAGTCCAGCTCAGGACACTCCAACACCCAACAGTTCATCCCTGAGAGCACTGTCCCAACACTCCTGGAGCTCTGGCAGCCTTGGGGCCGTGACCATTCCCCGTTCCAGTGCTCCACCACCCTCTGGGCAAAGAACATTTTCCTGATATCCACCCCAACCCTCCCCCGACAAAGCTCCAGCTGTTTCTTGAGTCCCTGGCACACAGAGAGCAGAGATAAATCTACAACCAGTGCAACTGTACACAATGGCTTATTATAAATAACTTGTAGATTTTTTTAAAAGTGGCTCATGGACAGCCTGTTGTCCACCACGACCCCCAGGTCCTTCTCAGCAGAGCTGCTGGCCAGCAGGTAACCCCGAACCTGTGCTGGTGCATGGGGCTATTTCTCTTCAGGTGCAGAATATTGCACTTGCCTTTGTTGAATTTTAGACACTTCTCTGCCCATCCCTGCAACCTTTCCAGGTCCCTCTGAAGGGCTACACAGCACTCTGGGCTATCAGCCACTCCTCCCAGCTTTCTATCATCTGTGAACTGCTGAGGGGACATCAAACCCTTTTTCCAAATCATAGATGAGCAATTTAAACAATATTGAGCCCAGTATTACCCCACCTGCAGGGCTGCATCCAGCCCCGAGGCCAGCACAGGAAGGACAGGGAGCTGCTGGAGCCAGGCCAGAGCAGGGACACCGAGGGGATCAGAGGGATGGAGCAGCTCTGCTGGGAGGAAAGGCTGAGGGAATTGGAAGTATTCAATTCCCTCAGCCTGGAGAAGAGGAGGCTTTGGGGTGACCTCATTGTGGCCTTCCAGTGCCTGAAGGGAACCCACAGGAAAGACGGAGGGAGACTCATGACAAGGGCCTGACAGAACAAGGGGCAATGGCTTCACACTGATAGAGAGGAGATTTAGATTGGATATGAGGAAAAAAATCGTTCCTATGAGAGCTGGTGAGAGACCCTGGCACAGGTTGCCCATAGAAGCTGTGGGTGCCCCATCCCTGGAAGTATCCAAGGCCAAGCTGGATGAGGGTAGGAGCAACCTAGAATAGTGGAGGCTGGCCCTGCCCATGGCAGGCCGTTGGAACCGGATGGTTTTCAAGGTTCCTTCCAACCCAAAGCATTCCACGACAGAACCCTGCGGGACACCACTAATGCCAGGCCTCCAACACGGCCCTGTGTCACTGATCACGACGGCTCCGCTGGAAGGGAAAGGGGCCACCCTGGAATCCCCCCGAGGCCCCGAGATCGGGCGAGTCCCTCGGCCCCGGCACACGCACCTCCTGACCGGCCGCGCCATCCCCGCCGCCGCGGGCGCCGCTTGGCGCCTTCGCCAGAGGCGCAGCGCCGAAAGTTCCGCTCCGAACGCGCAGCTGCGATGACGAGAGCGGGTAGGCGGAACATGCCGGCTCCCCCTTCCCCGCGGCCCGGTTAACCCGCGGCTGCCCGCCCGGAGCCAGGTGAGCCGCGTCGGGACGGGCTGGCACGGCCGGGAGGCTCCCGGTGCCCGCGGGCGCTGCCGCTTCCAACGGAGGGCATGCAAATACCGGGAGCTCCCCACGGCGGGGAGGGGGCGGATGGACTCCCACAGGCCATGTCCTGCCGGCGTTGAGCCTGCGAGTTCAGGTCCTCTTTCGTCCCCCGCTCCCTCTCAGCTTCCTCCCCACCTCCTCGCTGCGTCGGGGAGCAGCAGAAAGAGCGTGGTCGGCTTTGTGTTTCCCAGGATTTCCCTTTGAATCCCACTCCCAGAGAGGCCGTGACACCGCCTCGCGTTGGTTGTCCTGAGATGTTTTTGAAACTGACTTGTTTCGTCTGTGTCTAACATGTTTGTTCACAGAAAAATCCACCCCCCCCCAAAAAAAACAAAACCCAAACCAAACCACAAAACCAAAAAAAACCCCAAAAAAAACCAAACCCAAAAAAACCTCCACCAAACCCTAAACCCGTGTTTCCCTCAGGGTGTGGTTTTTAGCACTGGGGAGGGTGCGGCTGAATCAATGTGTCCAGCCTTGTAGGTGGTGTTCAAAACAGACGGATGTGAATGAGCAGAGGAGCCCTGTGGAGGGTAAAAATACCAGCACGGTTATCCCAGCCTGTATTTTCACTCTACCCCTTGCATCTCTTTTGGCTTATTTTTAATGCAGGTTACAAAAAGACAGAATCAGCTCTTTCTAAAAATCGTTGCAAACATCTGCTCCCCCACTCCCCAGGCCTTGCACCTGCAGAAAGGAGGAAATAAAATCTGTGTGCACTCTGCAGGACTTCAGCTTTTGAGGCATCCATGACCAGAAGTCAGGGTGTTTTGGTTAATTTTCTATTTATCAGGATTCCCATCTGCCCTGCCTCTGCTTTTAAGTCAGGAGATTTATGCTGTAATTTTTAAGAGCAATTACCCAAATTTATATATTGACACACTCAAATAAATTTTAGAAGAATTTGATATTTTGGAAACTGGTTCTTACGCTTTGGTTCCAGATGCATGTGTTGGAAGTGAAAACTGAGTATCTATGAAAATTTGGGGGGTTAAGTATTTTTGGCTGTTAATCATTAGCAAAGCCATGGCTTTTCATTACCATTTTTTACTTCTGAGTTTACAACAATGTAATTCTTGTTACTTTCATTTCTGTTGCAGGAAACAAACTCAAGAGGATGAAGCCTAATAAAGGAAAGACTTTAACTAGAGAGAGAGACTATGTGTACAAATTCAGTGCCGGAAATGAACATTTGGTGATTACCGTGCCTCTCAAATTCCCTGTGCAAGAGAATATCAGTCATTTACATGGACGTCTGATGGTTCTGCACAACCTGCCATGCTTTATAGAAAATGGTATGAACTGATTTCTTAAATTAATCTCACGTATCCTTGTCCACAAGTATCTTACAGCTTGCTCTAAGAAACCAAAAGAACAGTGTTTTACTGGAAGAGTGTTTACAAAATTGGTTTTTTAAACAGCAAAACATCAGAGAAAATTACTGTCAGTGCTAGCAAGTGATAGCAAGGAAAGGTTTTCAGATGAAAAACCTTACTTACAGGTTTCGTGGGTGATTGTTGATGTGTTCTGTTGATGGACCATTTTCTTCTTGTTATAACAGACCTGAAGCAATCTCTTAGTAAATTTGTAGAAGAGGAAACCATAAAAGATTATGACAGAGAAGCTGAAGTGGCTCTGGAAGCAGTGAAATCAGGAAAAGTAGACATCAACCAGCTGGTAGATACTTGGGCTAAAGCATATAAAGAGGTAAGAATAAGGCTGGAAAGTTAATATTCAAGGCCTGTTTTGTGAGAGTATGTGTGTATGTGCAATTACAGTTGTGAGGATAAAATATTACACTAAAATTCACTGCAATTCTTGCAGTTTTTTCTTTCTATCTGAAAGTGTGCTCACTTTCAGATAGAAAGAAGTCTTCATCCTACAAGTATTTAGTCAGGTTTTTCTTAAATTTAATTGGGTAGAAAGATAGAAAATTGAGATGCAAATGGAGGTTTGTTCATTCAACAGTTGATACTCAAACAAAACATAGGCATATAAGGTTTATAGTGGCTTAGAATTAAAGCAAGAGGTAATGAAGTGACACTCTTATCCTAAATCTCAGTAACAGCAATTAAGGCTAGAAGGAGAAAGTTTATGGTTGAGAGAGACTTTTCAGTTCATTGTTTGGGTTCATATTACTATTTCATATTAATTAGGAAGGATGAGGCTTTAGTTGGAATAATGTCTCCAGTTTCACATGGGATCTTAAAAATAGTGGAGTGCAAAAGAACTGGAGGATCCTACTGAAAAGAAAAAGTGAATGACAAACCTGCAGCATTTGAAGAAAAGTTTGTAGGAATTGAATTTTCTTCTCACGAAATATAGAAAAATGGAAAATTCCATAAAAGGTTTGCAAAACTGGCATTCTTGGGCCGTTCTTTGTTCAATAAAAATAGCCTTTCTTAAATCAGTGTTGTTGATGGAATTCTTAGTGACATCAGCGGTTAGTTATCCTCACTAGCAAAGCATTTTTATTTGTACAGCTGGTGTTCTGGGCCTTATCTAAAATTCATCAGGTGCAAATATTATTGTGGATATTGCTGTTCTTTCCAAGCTGGTGTTGTGTGAAAATTGGTAATTCCTTACTGTAGTCCAGGCCTTAATGATTCTGGCTTTAGTTGCTTTGAAAGAGAAGGAATGGGAGAGGAGAAAATTGAAAGCTAAAGTAGAATGCAGGAAGCTTAAATTAGGGAAGATAATTTATGTATGGCCCAGGCTGTTTGTGGGCCCCCATGGTTTTACCCCACCATTATGAGGGATATTTATATGTCCTAAGAGGTATCTTATCCTTTAAAATCTTACATTTTCTTTAGACAACATTAGAACATGCCAAACCTGAAGAAACCAGCTGGGATGAAGATTTTGCAGATGTTTATCATGATCTAATCCATTCTCCAGCTTCTGAAATGCTGTTAAACCTGGAACACAATTATTTTGTTAGCATTTCAGAATTAATAAGTGAAAGGGACGTGGAACTGAAAAAACTACGTGAGAGGTATTACTTTTTTTTATTTAGGTTTTCCTTTCTCTTATTAAATAGGGGTACATGCCACTGGGTGTGTAAACTCACAGGACAATGTGTGTAGCTTGTATTTGTCTGTGTAAACCCAAAATCAGACAACACTTGGCTGGCACAAGAGTATTTAGAGCAAGAGGGAATGGCTTCAAACTGAAAGAGTGAAAATTTAGATTGGATATTAGGCAAAGAATTCTTTACTCAGGGTATGGTGAGGTCCTGGCACTGATTGCCCAGAGAAGCTGTGGCTGCCTCATCCCTAGAGGTGTCCAAGGACAAGTTGGATGGGGCTCTTACCAGCCTGGTCAGGTGGAAGGTGTTCCTGCTGATGGCAAGGGTTGGAATGAAATGAACATTCATGTCCTTTCCAGCCCAAACCATTCCATCATTCTATGATATCATTAGGGTCAGCTACCTTATATTACTTTGGTGGCCTTCTGTTATTTTCAGTGACTGAGGAGAATATAAGTTTTGATTTCCAGAAAGCGTTGAGTTTGTGTAGGCACACACTTTGTGTAATTGGGAGTGGGGCTGTGGAGCCTCATCCCCAATGGGTTACAGCTGTGAAAAGCAGATGAACAGTATTGAAGGTAATGAGACATGGAGTGCCCAGGTGCACTGACCAGTCACCAAAGGGACACAGAGGTGCAATGCATGCAAGGTGAGGGGTATAAAAGGTTGGGCTGAAGGACAAGATGAGTAGATGCTTGCATCCCTCTGGTGTGATGTTGCTCTGTGTGGGTGAACCTTTTTGAAGTTGTATGGTGATGCTCTGTGTGTCATGGCACAGTCATGACTGTCTTGACTGTAGCATATGCTGCGATAAGTTTGAGCCCAGAGTTCTGCCATGAGCTTGCATAGCTGCAGGTGGCTCCTTTATCCACAAGAGGGAACACGATGAGTGTGGATTTTTCTTTTCGTGCCAGAGTAATTTCAGTAGGTTTGGTTTAGCATTCTGAGTAGCAATATTCCTCTTGAGCTGTGTGTGTTTAAGCTGACATTAGACAGTGCATAATCAGTTCATGCTATGGTTTCTTTTGGACCAAATTGTATTTGGGGGTCAATGTTGCCAGTAAGGTGTTAGCAGATCTTCTTGCTGCTGTTGCCTCTTCTCAAGTATGCATACAAAAGAAAGAGCAGTATTATTGGTAGAGCTCAGGTGTAACGTAGCTGTGTATTGACTCTGCTGGAATTTATCACATTCCTATGTTGGTGGTAGCTGAGACTGTCCCAAGTGAGGGTAGGTGATGTTCTGTTTACACAGGAACTGACTTGTGTCCCTGACCCTTAATGTCAGTTTGTGTTGTGGATTTTCATTGCTAAATCTGTGACTGTTCATTCTGTCAGTAACAAACAACCAAATCTGTTGTTGTATCACAGCAAAGGGTGTTCTGCTGCTAGTCTTCTGAAATCTGTGTTTGCTTCTCTTTTAGGCAAGGAGCTGAAATGGATAAGGTGATGCAGGAGCTTGGGAAGTCGCTGACTGACCAGGATGTGAATTCCTTAGCAGCTCAGCATTTTGAGTCTCAGCAGGTAACTAAAATGTGTACTACACATAATCACGTTAAAAAGAACACCCACACCACTCAAATTATCACTGCTCTTCTGTCAGGATTTGGAGAACAAATGGACCAATGAATTAAAGCAGACTACTGCTATCCAGAAGCAGGAATATCAGGAGTGGGTGATAAAGCTTCATCAGGACCTAAAGAATCCCAACAACAGCTCAGTCAGGTATTTAATTCCTCTGTGATGCTTAATTTCAGCTGAAATAGTTCAAAGGATTTGCATTTACATGATCTTCTAAAGAGGATACTATAGTCTTATTTATTATGTTATCGTATCTATAAATAATTTGCCTAGGATAATCAAAGCATATCAAAGGTGAATAGACCATCACAAATAAATATGTATAATTTTATGAGTTTCTTCATTTTGTGATGTTACAACCTCTCTGTACCAGAAAGTGTTATAATGCACTAAAGTACAGCTTGACATGAGTGGAATTTCCTCCTATTTTGCCTTTCTCTCCTATGTCTGTCTTTAACACTGTTTCACAAAGCTTCCTGGTACCACGTAAGCATGTTCTGGAGAATAATGGTACTTTAAAAAATGGTAACAATGGTTTAACTTAATAAACCTCTTTTTTCTTTCTATGTGTCTGTCACTGGACAGCTAAAAAATGGAATTTTTTAGTGTGAACACTTGTGGAGAGAGTTGAATGAGAAGCTTTCCTCTGTTTGAGGAAATGCCAGGGAATTTAGAATTTGTAAATTGGGTGGGATCCTTATTCTTTATCACTAGTACATTGCTGCTTGGCAGTTGAAATTGGTAGAATTGCTTGCAAGCTTATAAGAGATTTTTGGAGGTGAGACACTTTGAAAACAGAAACGTCTCACTAATGCAGAAACAAATTGGATGCTGTTCTTTCATGTATTAGGAACAATATTTGTTGTATCAGTACCAGACAGTTGAATTTAGGGAAAATATTAAAACTCATACCTGAAATGTTTCCTGGTAGCATGAACATTGTGGGACAATTGATAAGGTGGTTTTTAATCTCCTGTTTTGTGTGGGAAGAAAAAAAAATGCTTTATTTAATAACTTCCTCAATTAGGTTTTGGCTGCTGTAAATAGGTTGAAGAGAGTTCTTTTTATTTTCCTCTTATTCCTGCATTCTTACTATGTTATAGCTAGGTATTGTGACTTATTTTTATTTCTCAGTCTTGGAATGTTTTACAAATGGGGCAAGCAATGTAAATCTAACAGTGAAGTCTCCTCTTCCTGCTGCCAGGAAGGCAAACCTGAAACCTCCTGAGTGGCGCTCATGATCATAGGTTTGATATCCTGATTTCCACAGTCCAGCTGAGAAAACTTGGGATAGCTTTCCCAAAGTTGTTGGTCTTGAATAAAAATTAGGATTAACTTTTTGGTAATTTTCTTATTATTTTAGTGATGAAATTAAAGTTCAGCCCAGCCAGCTGAGGGAATCTGTGGAAGGAAATGGGAGAATCTATGAAGAGCAAAGGCTGTTAGAAGAGAGCTTTACTATTCATTTAGGTAAGTGGAGTAAACCTAATAACAGCTGGTAATAAATAATGTATCCAAGGCATGTATTATTTCCACTATTTAACTCTCAGTGTGTGTAATCCATAGTTTGGAGTTGCTTTGGTTTTTTTTTCCTTAACATGTGTAAGAGAACAGCATAAACTGTATCGAGCAATGTCTGAAATAAGTGGAAATATTAATGGAAAATATTCTAGAAGCAAATTTTCATCCATTTTGGTTGTGTGACTCATGTGAAAAAGCACGCCAAAAGCAAAGCATATTGCCTAAAAATGATACTTTGACTTTTCTTACATTTGGTAGAAAAATGTGCTTACAAAAGTCACTTCTTGTGATCAGTAGACAGCAGAAGAGATACTTGGAATTTGTACTTTTGTTTGTGTAGTAGAGTCTTCTTGAGCTGTTTTCACCATGTTGTGTTGTGCAGGATGGTTTAGGTCACAACAAAGGCATCAGCTAGAGAAGGTTTGATACAAATATGCAAAAGAGTGAAAAAGTTCAAAGGCAAGGTTCACTCTATTACTATATAGATAAAACACAGAGAGGAAAATTGGATTATAACAAAATCTAAAATTATTTAGGCAGAGATGGGCAGCAACAATCCTCCCAGTATCACAAACTTGGGAACTAGCAAGCTCTGAGAGCAGAAGGAGATGCTGGTGCAGCTGGTGCTGCAAGAAAGCTCCAAGGATATCCCTTAGGACCACTGTCCGTAGGGTCATAAGATGATTGCCTTGAGTCATTTGGAAAATGTTCATCTTTGTGTTGAATTGCTGGAGTTTCCAAAACTCCAACAGCAATGATGCTGTGCCCCTTGGGCCATGGATCAGGTAGGGGATGTTTCCAGGCTGTCAGGGGCTGACTGATGATCCCTTCGCCTCCATGCAGCTCCCATTTCAGCTATGCAGCAGTTCCTGGGATGGCCAGGAGATGCCTCAGCACCCAGCTCATTGCACAAATGTTAAGGCCTAGCAGGAGTTTGAACTTGTGGAGTGGTTCTGGGGAGGGTGGGGAAGGATACACCACCATACATCAGTATTTCATCCCTAGCCCTGCAGTATTCCTCAGGAAGGGTTGGAAGAGTCTGCCCAGAGAGATTTGGAGTCCCCATCCCTAGGGGAGTCCAAGGAATGCCTGGATGTGACACTCGTGCCCTGGGCTGGTGACAAGGTGGGGATTTGGCACAGGTTGCACTTGATTTTGGAAGTATTTTCCAAGCTTAATAATTCTGTGATTCTGCAGTGGGAATAAGGCTTATTTCAGGCATGGACAAGTCTCACTTTGTGAAAACACTGTGTTTTTATTGCTACTTTGTGAATTGTCTGTAAAACTGAATGTACGGCTGAGAGCTTCCTCTGGGTGTTACTCGTTACAGCTCCCTTCCAGATTTTTAGGGAAGCACTTTGTGCCCTTGCATTTCAATTTAAGTTTGGCATATTGCACTAAGTTAGACTTCCACTGGGATTAAGCCATGTGTGCTCTGTGCAGGAGCTCAGCTGAAGACCATGCACAACCTGAGGCTGCTGAGAGCTGATATGTTGGATTTCTGCAAACACAAGCGCAATCACCGCAGTGGGGTGAAGCTGCACAGGCTTCAGACTGCAATGTCCCTCTACTCAACTTCCCTGTGTGGCCTGGTGTTACTGGTGGATAACAGGATCAGCTCATACAGCGGAATCAAGAGAGGTGAGTGTTCTAATGGGAGGTATCGTGTCAGGAAAAATGAATAAAATAATAAATTAGAATAAAATCTGGCTGTCATGTCTCACAGAAAAATACTCTTTAATTTAAAATTCAGTGGAGGCCACTCATGTTTTGCATATGTTATGGCAAAAGGGTAACAAATGCAAAAAGAGATGAGGATGGGGGATAGTGTTGTGCTGCTATCTCTCATCTCTCTCCTACATTTTGTGTCTGAGTAACAAACAGTATTGAAGAGGACCCTTCAATATTGATCTAGACAAATTTATTATAGGAATTCCTACCTCTTTAATAGCAGATTATCACACTGAAATCTATTTGCAGAAATGAAAAAGAAATATGCCCAGATTTTCAAGCGATAGGTAAATATATAAAAATAACATGTTGTTTTGATAGTGTGAATGCCATTAAAAATGAACAATAGGAATATGACTTCCCTACTCCTGGAAAGATTGATTAATAGCAATTTGAAGTGCATGTCTTTTGAGTAAGTGGGCACTATGATGCTGTTTTCTATCAAGGTTAACCAGAGAAACTTCTGTTTATTCCTGGTTGACTCTCCCACTTGTGTCTTGAAGTTTAACACTAAAATACTTGCAGGCACACAGTTTGTGGTAATTGGGAATGGGGCCGTAGCTGAGCCTCATCTGCAATGGGCTGCAGCTGTGCAGGACAGGGGAACAGTATTGAAGGTAATGAGACATGGAGTGCCCAGGTGCACTGACCAGTCACCAAAGGGTACAGAGGGCTCACAGGTGCAATGCGTGAACCATGAGGGGTACAAAAGGTTGGGCTAAAGAACAAGAAGGGTGGACGCTTGAAGCCTTCTTGTGTTACTCTGTATGGGCTGATGCTTAAAGCCTTTGTACACTGTATGGTGGTACTCTGTATCTCAGCTTTGGCATATGCTGTGACAAATATGCTTGGAATGTCTTTTTTTGACTATCACTTGCCATTATTCTTGTAGACCTAAAAAAAAAAATGCACAGTGGTGCTTGATATTTCCTGGAAAGCTGACATCAGGCTTGTAGCAAGAAGGACAGGGAAGTGTACCAGGAAAAACTACAGTTGCATTTGTTGATTGCTGTTGATGGTTTCCAGGTAGTTTAATTGTAACAGTATTATCTTGTACTTATTTTGCCGCTACTTTCTTTAACTGTTTAAATGAATAACAAAAGGAGAGTATCTGGTTTTATGCTAAATTTTAGGCGATGAGAGAAAACAGAAATTTAAATATTGCCATTAAACACAAAATTGCATCTTGTAGCCACCAACTAGATCCTGCAGCCACAGTAGAGGGGGAAAGTATGGAACCATGTCACAATCTGTCAAATATAACCCTCAATAAATTTTGGAAGTGGAGTTCAGTAGGGCTTTATCTGCTTTTGGAGAGTTTGCCTTTATAGCTGGATTTACTTGATCAGTAGAGTAGAATTACATAAGGTTACTGAGCACAACCTCAGGACATGCATTTCAATCTTATTTTTTTCCTAGATTTCGCAACTGTTTGCCAAGAATGCACAGATTTCCATTTTCCTGGAATCCAAGAACAACTTGAAATTGTCCAGAAAGTTGTACTTAAGGCCAGAGCACAGCGTAGCAGCAAGACAAAAAGACACCACGGTCAGTGACAACCAAAATTACCTTCCTTGAAATAGAACAGTGGTCAGTGAGATGTTTGTGGGCAGGGCAGAATTGATGCCACTTTTCTGCATTTTTTTCATGTGTAAAATGGAATGTTTGGGTTCATCAGGAAACTGTGTGAAACTCACAGAGAATGTGATGTTTGGGTGGTGTCTTTGCTGTTCCTTTAAAATGAATCAACATATAAAATTCACATTTTAACAGCATGGCAAGTACATCAGGCCATTCTGCTTTCCTAATCTGCCTGTAGCAGCACAAACTTTATCTGTCTTTACCTTTTTATTGCCATTTACATTTAAATCTTCAAAAACTGCAGAAAAAGGAGTTTACTACTTCTCCCCCTTCCTTTAAAGTGAATGCTGAAAACCATATCAATTAACTAAATCTGTATTTAGCTTTCTTGTACTGACCAAAGCTTTGGGAATCATTTTCCTTATATTTGTGATTGCAAATGGCTGGGAAATGCTCTGACCACATGGTGTTTAGGCAGTGCAGTTGTACATCATAACTTTTGTTTTCCTTCCAAAGAGCTACTTATGTGATTTAAATGCATCAGGAATGTGAACAAATATGACTACACACAAAACTTCCCTTGAGAACCTGTGTATTGCTCCGTCTCAAGGGAAATGGTGAAAGCTGGTTTTATCCTGCTGATTTATGTCAATCTTAGGAACAATTTTGTTTGAATTTATTACATTATTGAAAGTAATAGCAAGATGCTATGTGGTTGTGGGGTCAATTTCCAAAGTTTCATGTAATGTCTGAGAATATTGTTTGCTTTTGTCCAAATGAAGAAATATCATGGGATGGTAAGTAAGACAGGCAGGGATTTGAAGTTGGATTCAGTTTGGGGTTTATTGAAGACAGCAAAAGTTCTTCTACCCATTCCCCTTGCATTTTGGGGACTTTATGCTAACTTCATGGTCAAAATTCAAGCTAGATATCTGTACGCGAACCTTTTCATGCCTGAGGGTAATTAATAGAGGATATTATTAATATTTGTTCCGTATGTTCATATATAGAAAACAGAATCAGTGGGAATGAAGATAAACTAAAGAATATTGAACGAAACCAGTCAAACATTTTACCGGGTGAGTTGTGTGGCATTGACCCCCTCTTCCTGAAGCAAATTGTGTTTTATGTGTCCACATTTTTAGCTCTAAAGTCAGAACACAAATTATAAACTGAACCCAACCTGACCTCAATCAGAGGAGAAGGATGTTCCTGTGGCTGAGGCAGAGAACTGGGTGTCAGGACATCTGGTTTCTATTCCCAGCTTTGCCACTGCATCACATGGTGTGGAGCAAATCACTTCTCTTTGCCTAAAATTTCCTTTTGGAATTTGAGGATGGGAAAAAAAAACTCTGAATATCTTGGGGGGAAGGTGAGACTTCAATACTAGCAGCTAATTTTGTTTTTGAAAATGGCTATATGTATATCACTGCTGTGGTACTGAAAACCAATTTTGAGTGGATTTTTTAACTTTCAGAAATCCTCTCTCGGGGAAGCATCTTCTGTGTATATTGTGATGTTTGGTAAAGAAAGCTGCTGTTGAATTTGAAGATGAATATGCATTTGGAGGGGGGAGGAGTTAAGTCCATACAACCCATGGTTGAGTGAGGTCTTATTAAAATTTGATGACTGTCTTAAATATTTTTAGTGGGAGTGGATTATAAATCAGCTTGGAGCAGATGAATCCAGGTGTCTTGTAGCAGTGTCCTGTGTTACTACTTGTAGGTGGCTGGGTATTCCTGTTTCCTTAGCAGTCATCCAGAAGGAGTACAGACCCATTCTGCAGCTGTTCCAGTTCAAAGAAATAATCTTCACTTCAGTGGCCGGTGGGAATAGGTTTGAAGGAAGATGTTTATTTCTTGGCTGAAACAGCGGGGGCATTGCACACCTGCTTTTCCCTTGACTGTACTGTAGACTTTAGATCTCCAGTGTAAAGGAACAATGGAGAGACCTGGATTTCACTGCCTCTCACCTTTGATAAATGAATACTAAGTCTGAAAATGCCCCCAACAAGATGTCTTGGTTCCTTTTTTCAAACAACTCTAACTCACCTTCCCACTACTCTGAATTATTTTAAATTCTAATGGCCACCGATCCCTTTGTGTTCCGGTCTCATATCTCAGTTGTTACATAACCCACTATCTTTTTCCACAGGCTCTGCATCCTTTATTTGAACCCATCCTTTTTTGACCTTTCCGCCTCCCACATCTGTCTGCAATTCTGTGCTTGCATTGTGTATTTTGAGTGTTGCACCTCCTCTGGGTTTGTTTTTCTGTTTTGTGCTATATAGAGATCATATCCTGTACTGGCACTGTTATGGTTTATTACACCATGTGGCCATGGTGCCAGTGGAACTCATCAAAGCAAGGGAGAGAGTGTGGGATGGATGTAAAACAGTGACAGTCCAAGAGATTTTAGATCTCCTGTGTATGTCCTCATCTCTGCTGTATACTTGTATTTGCCTTTTATCTTTCTTACACTTCCAAACAATTGGATTTCAGTACAGATCACTACCATGATTTCTTGCCTTCCTGGTTTGCCTTATTGTGCAGGAGAGTTCTACATCACACGACACTCAAACCTCTCAGAAATCCATGTTGCCTTTCACCTGTGTGTGGATGACGTCAGGTCTGTGAACGTGACCGCCCGGGACCCGGCCATCATGGGGCTCAGGAACATCCTCAAGGTCTGCTGCACACACGACATCACCACCATCAGCATTCCCCTCCTGCTGGTGCATGAAATGTCAGAAGTAAGTAAATGGAAACATTTGGGCTGGTTTAATATCCTTGGATTTTTGCAAATGGTGTGTTTCATGCTGATTTAGGCCAAATGGGATGGTTTTTCACTCGCAGGTTTCTGCCGTACCACATGGTACTTGTATCTACATGGTGACCCAAACTAAGGAGCTAGACCAGTTAAAAACATCTCAGCCAGCTAAATCACTTGAAGTTTTTATTCCCACTCCTCCTTTTGGACAATTCACTTCCTGGATCCATCTCACTGCAGTGGTACAAGTATTAATAGAAGATGGAACTACACAGCTGGAAGCTCTTGCTTAGAAACTCCATCAGAGTTGCTGATGCAGTAGTGATACCAGATTCCCTCTTTTAATTATCATTAGCTGTAAATATTAAAACTAAATTTTGGGAGCAGCAGAACTGGCAAAGCTCGGCTTAGAGTTCTGTAAATCTAAACACTGCCTTTACCTTCTGTAAATCTTCTACCACCTCAGCCCTACACAAGAGCAACCAAATTTCACCTTCACGTTGAACTGTCTCCTCCTTCGCTGCCCAATTTCTGTCCCTGTTTCCTCTCTAAGTCCCCTCAAATACTGTCTGGGTAAGAGGCAGCATATTGCTGATGCTCTTTGTGTTCTTACTTAACTGTGCTCAGTTTTTTATTTTCTTCTGTAGTGGCACTCTGATGTAGGGCTTGTCTCTCAATCAGCTGTAACATTTCTCAGTGCGCAGCAATTTAAAACTATTGGCAGCCTCTTTTCTCTGTCACAACTGGCTAGCAGAGAAGAAAAGGGATGGGAAGGCAGGGAGTACAGGCATACCTTATATCCTGAAGAGCTGGACAGTCTGTAAACCTAAGAAATGAGAAAAGGAAGATAATTCTGTCACCCATGTAAGGATATCAGTAATAATTAGTCTGTTGGAGAGGTTTCTTTTTTAAATAACTCTTTGATTTTTCACTTTTAGATTCAATATTGCCTTTCCTTTGTGGAAAGTGGCTAACCCACAGCAAGATAAATTCTCACCAGTGGATTACCTTTAACAGTGACACGTTTTATAATAGAATTTACTGGAACACAGAGCAGAAGTCACCCTTTTTTGCAGGATAAGGGTCTATTACCGTGAAAAAGGTAAAAAGACACAATAATGAAACTTCTAAAGGATATATTTCCATACATAAAAGTAGACTTTTAGGAACAGATTAGATTTTTAATGAAATTTTTCATCTGTTGTACTGAGATTTTTCTTTGGGCACAAATGCAAGTAATCAACATGCAGGACAGCAGCCTGGGTCACTGATGGGACCCAGCTGCTGTGTTTCAGAAATTTATTAAATATATTGACCTTTTTTTAATCAAGGTGCCATCTGATTATATTCTTCTAGTTTTTGTTTCCTTTAAACCTGGTTAGTTCTAGCTTTGCGTATCTGTATTTTAAACTACAACTAAAGCACCTGACCAAGTGTTCAACGTGCCTTGAGATGTGTAAAACTGAAGAATTATCTTCTTGTCTAGTGCTGGATTCTTAAAAGATCCTGGTAAAACAATTTACCTTTTGTATTAAGCTGTAAGTCTTTGCAGAGTAAGCAGAAAGTGAGCTGGATGGTGTGTCTTAAGGCACAACTGCTTTGTATGACTTGCATTAGCAGCTTGCTTATTGCAGTGCTTGGCAGCTGGCTGACCTGATGTGAAACACACGGCTGTGTAACTCCTTGTTGAGGGAAAAGTGAGTAATGACAGATTTCTGAAAGTTACCCTGAACCCGGTGCCTTTGGCAGCCTCAGTTCTGACTCTGCATTTACCACCTACGGAAGAACATTTTTGTGAGGTGGTTAACCAGGAGCCCAGCTGTGGAGATGTTTCCATGCTTCCCTGGGACAGGCATTCATTAGCAGTGTTCTCTGTGCTTTTTCCAAATATTTTCTGCTAATGTAGATGGAAGAGTGGTGTTTATAGCCTCACAAAAGTAATTACAGTATCACAGACTGCTTTGGGTTGGAAGAGACCTTAAGCTCACCCTGTCCCATCACCTGCCATGGGTACGGACCCCTTCCACTCTCCCAGGTTGCTCCAAATCCCATCCAAACTTTCCTGGAATACTTCCAAGGATGGAGCAGCCACAGCTTCTCTGGGCAGCCTGTGCCAGGGCCTCACCACCCTCCAATCTAAACCTGCTCTCTGTCAGTTTGACTGTATTGATTTCAATGAGGCCATTAGATTTCATTGTTATTTCTATTTTAAAAAATCAAGAATTCCGTTTTCCTTTGTTTTTCTTATGGCAAGAACAACCAAAACAGATCTCTCTGGTCTGATCATTAAATTAAATGAAGGAAAGAAACTGGATTTGATACCTCACAAAGGCAAAAGCAGGCAAGTTTGATTTCAGGCCAAGTGAGGTGTTACTGGTCACTGGAATCTGCTATAAACTGGGGAATGAAATGGCTCTACAGCAAGGCATTGCTAAAAATGCCAGAGCTGGCACCCTCCTTTGGTGGTTTCAACATTGCTGTTGTCCACACAGCAACAGTGACAAAAATGTGACTCTTCAGTGATCTCAGTCCAGTTGTCTCTATTACCATAATTTAAGACAAAATTGTTTTAAAAAAGAAATGAAAGGCATGTAAGCTGTGTAACAAATATTTATGAACATAGTTTATGTCCATAGAGATGTTACCAGCAGATATATTGACCTCAAATGTTTCTCATCTGAGTTTCCTGCCTTTTAAATTTATATCTGCTCATCCAGTGTTTAGGATTTTCACAGATGCACTGAGTTAAATACCTTGCTAATTCTTACTGAAATTACCCATTGAAGTTTAGTTTGAAATATTTTTCCACATGATGTATGTGGACTTTACTGTTTTACTTACTTGATTATGACATGGTTCTGCAAAGGCCCAAGTCCTAAGCAGCCCCATGTAGTGAGCCTATCATAAATTAAATATAAAAAATAAAACCAAAAGGATTGCAGCTTATCTTTCTCACTGTGAAAAATATGTGAAAGACCAGTGAAGCTGGTCTCTCCTCCCCCCTTTTTTTTCTAAATGAGTCAGGGAAATCTTAATTTGACAGAATGATTGCATCTTAAAAAGGGTTGATGTCTCTGCTAGGGAAAAATACCTGAAGTTCCAGGTGGGTTTTTTTTTTTAACTTTCTTGAATGCTATTATCCAAAACTCCCTCTAAGAGGTGGCTGTTTGCTTTTTTGCTTTCTTATGTCCTTCTCTGTACTTTGCATTGTTGCTTAGCTAATTCTCCATTTCCACACCAGAGAGAGCTCCTGGTGATGTGGTGAATTCATGAGAACTTTGGTTTGTGTAGTTGAATTATAATTGAATCACTGCGATGTCATTTTCAGTTCTTGTGGCTTACATGGAGCAGCATTATTTCCCTAAGTGCCCACAAAATTTAGTCTCTCTGTTCCTCTAAAATAGTCCAAGGAATGGTGTCATATCCTCCTGTGTTGATCAGTCTTTTTAAGACTCGGTTCCCATCACTGATTGCTCAAGGCACTCCTGCGAGCGAATGTTCTTCTTAGTTACTTGTTTTTACTAAACCAAAGCAGTGATCAAAACCAGCTATAAACCTTACTTGTGACAGAAAGCAGTCATGGGCAGATGAGTTAAAATAAACACCAAGTGTTGCTTCCAGAATGCTTAAAAATTAAAAAAGTCAAAAAGCAACCACAACAAAAGTATAAACCCAAACTTGTCCAGCACTATTCTGTCTGATTAATGTGTGCTGTATACCCTAAAAGCACAATGTAGGGATGCAGTGGTTTATATAATGAAGGCTTTATGAAAAGATATTTCAAATTAACTCAGTTTTTAACATAGTGTATTTTGAGGGATTGCAGGAGATCCTCCCACCTGAGGAGGAACTTTGGCTTTCAGTAATTGTTCAATGAAGCCACACATCCAGTTTCAGTTGTGTTATCACTGAGCATTCTTAGATAACCTTGCCTCTCGAATAACTTTCTTTAATCCTGAAATTAAGCTTTCTGATAACAACAGATTGCACTGTGTTTGACATTTCAAAATAGAACTGGTTTTAGTGAATAGAAAAATATGTAAAGCTTAAGTTTGAAAAGGTACTTGGAATGGTAGATCAGTTTCCACATCTATATTCCTGTATTCAGAGTAGGAAATGCTCATCTTCATGTTGAAGATTACAGCAGAAACAAACAGATGTTTTCTTCTTCCTGAGAAGTGTTTGCAGTTAGTCATTCTGTCTCTGATGGAGTTCCATCATCATGGTATAATTGGCTTTCTAGCATACAGCCAAAAAATGTTTAATAAACTTTAATTTTAAATTATTTAGCCCAGTGCTTTTAAACCACTGTGGTTTTCATGTCATGTTTTGCTGTTTAAGTTTAGGTGAGGATTTGCTGGCTGTTACTATCTGGAACTCCTTCATCAGATACAGATAATTTTTGCTTGTTCTCACTCTTCCCATAAAGGCATCTTAAGGAGGAAGAGCTTCTTCCCGTTCCAGTATTAGAGAGGGTTTTACTGAAGGTTGTGGGTATGCCAAGAAATATTAAACAAAATCAAGAACAGTTAGACGTCATCATTGTGCTTTTAAGATGTGGTCAGGAGCCTGCCTTTGATTTGCTGAAGCATGAACCTGACAATTATCAGTTGACTATTAGACTTTTATTGGAGCTCCACAGGGGAATCGAACAGCCCAGTTTCCATAGGGTTTGACAGCATTTTTATTCAACACCTCAGTTAAAAAATGTTTAATTTTGTTCTGACACTGGCTCTCCTAGCAATAAGGAGTGGTGGTGCTTTTATGGTCACCTGTAAGGTATGTACTCCTGCCTAGAATGTTGTAAAAAAACAGGTCCCAAATGCTGCTTGAAAATCATGTTGTAGGGCAAAAAATGTATTGTAATTTCCCTGCTATTCTTGCTGGTTAGATTTGGGGGGCATTGAGACTTTTTATTTTGTCATTTAGGAGATGACCATTCCATGGTGCCTGAAGAGGGCAGAGCTTGTGTTCAAGTGCGTCAAAGGTAGGGGAGTGGAGCCTCAGTGGGTTCTGGGGAGCCAGTCCAGAGCAGGGACATGAACTCATTAAAGGGCTGGAGCAGCTCTGCTGGGAGTTGAGGCTGAGGAAATTGGTACTGTTCTGCCTGGAGAGGGGATGGTTATGGGATGACCTAATTGTGGCCTTCCAGTGCCTGGAGGGAACCCTCAGGAAGGATGGAGAGAGACTCTTGACAAGGGCCTGGAGTGACAGAACAAGGCCCACCACCACTGACAGCAGGTTTAGGTTGGATATTAGGAAAAAATAGTCCTCATGACTCAGTATGGTTTTCTGTCTTTCTGAGTGGTGTTTTTACTTTCTGCATTTTTTGTGCTGCACTTAAACAGTTAAACCAGTCACTTTCTTTCAACCACCTGCTTGAAGAAACTCTTGCTATAGTAGTTGACCTTTAGTAGTTCACAATATCATTTATATCATCCACTTCTATTAAACAAGTATTTTTCTGAGTGTCCTTATTTGCCATAAGAGGATTCCTGTGGCCTTGGTATTTCATTACTTGAGCAATAAATGAGTGCTGAGCTTTTCCCTATAGAATCATAGAATTGTTTGGGTTGGAAAGCACCTTAAAGATTTCAAACCCCTGCCACAGGCAGGGGCACCTACCACTATCCTGGCTTGCTCAGAGCCCTATCCAGCCTGGCCTTGAACACTTCCAGGAATGGGGCAGCCACAGCTTCTCTGGGTGACCTGTGCCTCCCCACCCTCACAGGGACCAATTTCTTCCTCATATCCATCTAAACCTCCTCTCTGTCAGTATGAAGCCGTTCCTCCTTGTTCTGTCACTCCAGAGCCTTGTCAGGAGTCTCTCCATCTTTCCTGTGGGCTCCCTTCTGGCACTGGGAGGCCACAGTGAGGTCACCCCTGTTTCTCAGTGAAAGGAAACATGGAAAGAACTCCTGACACGCTGTTTGGAGAAACCTTCACTTCTGCTGTGTATCTCTGTGCTGCACAGATGGATTGATAATTCTGTCCTCAGTGTAGGTATTCTGCAGAACTTGTCATTTGATTTTTCAATATTTCATTCAGATTGCCCAAGTCTGATTTAAAGGCAGTTGAGGCCATCCCTAATTAACGCAGTTCAAACCCTATGTGTGTGAAAGCTCCCTCACTGCCTGCTCATGCTGTAACTGCTAGGGAGTATTGCACAGGTACTCCAGACAGTGTCAATGCTGTTTTTTTTAGGTTTCATGATGGAAATGGCTTCATGGGATGGAGGAATTTCTCGGACTGTACAATTCCTGGTACCACAGGTAGGTGAAACCAAAGCCATATCCAACCTAGGAGACTGCTGGTAAAAAGCTATATGTCAGCAGATCTAGTTGTGATTTTTTTTTGCACTTGCCTGCCCCTTTGGAATGAGTTAAATGAATCTATCTGTTTTTGTTTCCTTGCCTATAAAATAGGAGTAAGGGTTGGTTTATATTTTTGGATACCCAGTAATATTTTCTGAGAGGATGCTAAAATTTCAAACTGGGAAATTCACCTTTACAAATAGTGAATTCATCACCTTTGAAGGAGGTACCTTTTTTCTGTTAATTACATTTTTCTGTTAATTGCTCCAATGGGCTAACCTTGTGTTACATAACTTGAGTTGTTTATTAGTCATATTGTCTAACAATGTGGAAAGCTGCAATGCAGAAAGTTCAGTCATGCTTTCACAAAAAAAAATTACTCCAGATATTTGAAGTTAGTTCTGATTTAGATTCTCAAGTTATTTAATTTAAGTTGTATCTGATCTTCAGAAACAGGAAGAGATCCAAAGATGGCCAGCATGAGGTTTGTTCTAAAAAGCAGTGAAAGTAGAGTTAATGTTAGGAAAGGAGTAACGTGTATTTCTTGATAAATTAGAAAGTTACTGAGCAAGGAGGAAGCCACAAATAAATTCCAAATTTGAAGCTAGTCTTGAAATGCAGAAAGCAGGAGTCCTGTAGATAACAAGCAGCACAGTCCTGCTTATGTTTGGCAGAAGTAATCAATCCCTGGAGCAAGAAATCAACTGGAAATGGTTATGTGGGTGTGTCACATAAATATACAGCCAGTATTTATTTTTAGATCAGTCTTTTAACTGAATTCAGTCGGATTATAACACAGTTTGAAAATTATTTTTGTTGTCTTCTGAACAGCAGCAATTCTCTTAAATACCAAGAAACAGGATTGAGAGAGACTTAACTCTTCCAAACTACAAAAAGACAAAGCTTAACTGTGTGTTGTTTGGTTTTTTCCCCAGACAATTTCAGAGGAAATGTTTTACCAGCTGAGTAACATGCTGCCACAGATCTTCAGAGTATCCTCCACACTGACTCTGACCTCCAAGCACTGATTTCTGTGGGGTACTAACCTGTATCCTATTGGCAGAGGATGAGATTAAGGAGATTCTGGACTAGCATGTCTCTTTCCTGTGGACTGATGACCCCAAAGTGGCATTTGTTGCAGTTTCAAGAATTGTGCTGTAATAAAAGATAAATGTTGTCTGTTCTTGGCTGGTAGCAGCTGATTTTGGCCCCTTGTTTTGTTTCAGTACAGGATTGATAATGAATTCCTCACCTTTATCTGAAAGACATTCATTATAACTTGTAAGAAATCTACAGAAATACGTAGGTAATTCTCATACATAGGTAGTAGCAATAAGAGCTTATGCTAGGAGTGGGATCTTCTTGGCTTCTACAAATATTTGCTGCATTTTCTTAGTGACTTTTAGAAGAATGTGGAGCACATTAGAATAACCAATGGAATTTGTCATAGTGTCCATGGAATAAAAGGTATTACTGCCTCATTTTACTGCTGCAAAATGAAAGACTTGAATCAAATATTTACTCTGTTGCATTTTGTAGATTGTTGACGTGTTTAAAAAATTAATACAGACTTGTGACAATAATTACAAATTTTTAAGTATAGGTCTTCCTTTTTTATTGTGCTTTTTGCTTTATTTTATTTATTTCGCTTTATTTCACATTGAGAACTTTATAGAAACACTGAAGTGTTCTGGACACTTATACAGATAAAATTTGCTGCTTATAAGTTTACATTTTATGACTACTCAAAAATGCGAGGGAGACAGCTCAAGATGCAGCTATGCCATTTCTTGGGACAAACTTGAATCCAGTCAACAAAACCCCAACCAGACAACCCCTGCATCCCAGTGATGAGGGATAAGAGGGACACTGGGAACTGCTTTTTCCCCCTAGCATAGGCAATCTTGGACCCAGGAGCTGGAAGCAGCTTTTCCACAGACAGGGAAAGTCCTGTCAGGAGCTGGGGTTCTTGGGATTGCCAGAACCACTGGGCTCACAGCAAAGTAGCTGTGGGGGTGAGGGTTCCAGGTGGTGGGATTTCCAAATCCACAGTTCTGCTTTGTGGGAATCGTGGGGATCCTGACAGATCTGGCTTTCAGTCAGAAACCTCTTCCTACATACTGCTGAAATTCTGCACTGGAAACTGGAGAACCTGGAAGCCAATTAAAATCCAAATTATTTTCTGTCTTCATAGTTATTTTTTAAATGTTATTTAGCTTAATAAAGGCAAAAAGCTCTGTTTTTGGGGAAGCTGTATAATTTAAATTTCTCACAGAGAACCAAAGGAATAGTCACTGTTTCATGATGACTGTAAAGTCACTGTGTAATTAACAGACTCAGCTTAGTATTTTTATCAAGTCTTGTATGCTGCAGGAAGCCATATAAGTGACCTAGCAAACATCTCTTGCTGAACTGTCAAATACTTTCTTTTCCTCTGCCAGCAGCTTCTAAAGAAGAATCATGCAAGTAATGTGACCTAATTTGATGTTCTAGAAAAGAAGGATGTAAATTCCTCTAGAAGGAGCTGGATTAATCCTGTTACAGCTCATTTTACATTGCTGGCCTTAAACTGAAATCAAACTCTGGTCCCAGAAAAGCAAGTGCTCTAACACTGTTCTGTCTGGAAAAGGTGTGGTGGCAGAGCCATTCCTTTTTAGAAGTTGTAATGTTTATCTGTGTGAGAAAGATCTGTGTTACCTACTTCTACTAGTTTTATATTTTCCTTCAGTCAGTAAATTTACCAACAAGGAACACCAGCAGTTCTTAAGCAAACATTTTTCATATACTTTGAGACTCTTGGGTAATAAAAATTATGCCTTGTATTTTTGCCAAAGCATGAAGACTCAATTTAGTAGCACTTGGGTGAAACTGCCACTAATTTCTAGGAAAATAACTCAGCTTTTTGCCTTTTATTTTTGAAATATTTGTTTTCAGTCCTCAGTGGATTGCATCTAAACTTCTTATCAGAAGAACCAGTTAGTCTTTGATACTGAAATGAATCAACAAGCTCTGGTGATGAGGTTTTGGAAAGCCAAAATAGAAGGAATGGTATGGGAAAACTATTAATTCTGCTTGCTGAAGTGTGACCCTTGTAAATGCTGAATAAGCCTGCCAAAGAGAATCTTTGTCTGGAGGATCTGTGACAGAGCATTTAGTATTCCCATTTTTCATACCTGTTTTCAAGGAAGAGGTGCTAACAGCAAAATTTTAGCTGTCTTTGGAGAAAACCAGAATATAGAGATGGGCTGACCAAAGCTGTACCTTCTCTTTGGTCTGTGCCTGGCAGCTGTAGAATACAGGCTGCATTTTATGGTGTAAAGCCACCTTTGAAATTCTGTTTCAGTCATGAAAAGCTATTCAAGATTAAGAGGAAAATTACTTAATGGGCATGAGGTTTTCTACTTGTATATGCAGTGCAGATTCCTTGACAGGGTGACAGTATTTAATGTCATGAAAATGTTGTGTAAAATTATATGTGTGGGTTGAATTGAATAAAAAATTCTTGCTACAGGGAAAGGTGAGGAGTAAATGCCACTGTTTGGCATCTTTAACTTGCTCGTGGTGACCACTGTAAAGTGCAGGTGCCCTTTAGAGCATCTGAACTGAGGTTATTGCAAGGAAAAAAATGCCGAGAGTCTGGATTTGTCAAGGATGTCACTTAGTGCCCTTCACCTCTTGTCACCAGCTCTGCGACCTGTGTGTGCTTCTGTGGGAACTGATGACAAACAGGAGGAGAAGAATGCAGGCAGTTAAACACATGTACAGACCTTGCCCAGGACAGGTGCTTCTACCCTGCTGCAATGCCAGAAATGCCACTGTTAGAAGGTGGCACTGCCCAGACAGGTGGGAGTCGTACCTGACGTCCTTTCTTCTGAAATAATTCACTCTGGACAGCAAAATCTTAATGATGAAAGAGTTATTTTATAACTTTTCCTGTTGTATGAGAGGTGAATGAAGCCACAGAAGGTGGTTATGGAGAGGGGATATAATATAAGGGAGGAAATTATCATGGAATTATTTGTGTTGAAGGGGGCTTTAAAGAACAACCAGTTCTGTCTGAGAGGATTGAGATTGCATGTTCTAACCCTGTTCTGGTATTTCTGTGAGCTTAAATGTTGATCACTTTATCGCATCTGTACCTCATTTTCCCCTCAGAGGAATGTTTAATTTATACTTCTATAGTATTTTGAGCATTAGTCTTTCATGCCTCATTTACTGTTTTTTTTTGCCAGTGCTGTACCCAAAAATACAGAGCTATTCTCTGGTATTCACACCAGGTCAGCTGAGTAAAGAGATGCCTGTCCTCTTCTTGTATCTTTACCTCATGGAGATCTCAGGACACACCATCAGTGCTGCATAAAAATAAATTTATTACTTCATACTATATACTGGATGTGGTAGAAGTCAGTAGCAACCACAGGATTGTTGTCCTATGGAACCACAGAATTAGAAGAATATGTTGTTGTTATTATGTATAAGGACAAACAGTTTTATTTCAGATTGCGTAAGTTGAAGAGCTTGATTTTATGATATAATAGCATTTAAACACTAAGGTGCAATCTTACCCCAGCATTTAGAAGCAAGTTCTTTTGAAGATTATTCCTTGGAGATTAGGCCAGATTCTGGGTAAAGAATGGTGGTGGTTCATAGTTCTCTTATTTCCTTTCTCACTTCTGTCAGAATAACCTGCAAAGGGAGAAAAACAACATTCACCCTTTATAATAAAGGCTTCAAAAGAGAAAAGCCATGGAAATGAGTCAACTTAGGATGTGAAGTCAGTGTTGCAAGCTCTGCCAAGTGCAGCTTGAAGATGAGACAGCTTGAGCAAGCACTTCCTCTAGGCACACACTTTCCATATGACACATTTTTTAAATTGGGAAATGGTCTGTGGACTTCAGTTTGTGATGCTCAGTTCTGGTCTCATTGGCCAGTTTCTCTGCTTTCAGAATATACGTTGAGCAGTGTTTTCAACCAGCCCTATGAAGGGCTGAGAAAAGGTGGAGAAATGTTCTCTGCTGGAGTAATTATCAATACCCATAGGAAAAAAAGTCACTGAACAAAACAAGGTTATTGTGTGATGTTTGTAACACACACAGAAATATGAAGTATCTTGTATCAAATAGTCTATGTAACGTAGAAAATCTCTTAAAATTGGTGTTAAATCATGCAAACACTCTGCATGGACCAGCACACAATGATGTGCTGCATCTCACTTCTCAGAGGAGCTATAGTAGGTACTGGCATCTTCCTGACGGCTGTTACAGTTCACAACTTCTTCTAAATCTTCACTCTAGTCACTGAGAATACAGCAAAAAAATACCATGATAGAAAAGGCACCAACCTTGTGCAGTCTGTGGCCCACAGGATGTGATGTTAGTTTTGATTGACATCCTGTTTTATATTTTAGCATTCACCTTCTGCTTTGTATTGCTCATGTCAATTCAATGTCTATCAAGTTTGCTGAGTTACTCCAAAATTGCAGAGATGTAACTGAGAGCAGAATTTAGCCTTCTGTGCCCTTCTAAGGGTGCTAAGTTTGAAGAGATACGTACAGAGCAACACTGGCTAAATGGCAACTGAAGGGGATTATGAAAACCATCTGTAAATATTTAAAAGATGCAAAAACTAAAGAGGAGGGGGGTTTGGACTGCATGTTCCAGTAAGAATTTCAACTTAACTAACAGGAATAAAACTAATAAAGGGAAATAGGGAAGATTTAGAGAAGCAATATGCCTGGAAACTTAGAAATCAGTCTCATAATGTACATATATTTCTCTGAGAATGGAGTGATAGCCACTGTGTCATTTCCAAGAAAACAGGAGGAAAAAAGCTATGCCTTTGTGGTATAAAGTACTCTTAAGTTTCCTGGGAGGTGGCAAGACAGGATTTCATGTCTGCTTTCTGTTTGGTCTGCAGAAATTGATTGATTTCTCCCTCCCTCTGTTCCATCTTTAGGAAGCATGTGGATGACGATCAAGGTCCAGGCAGATGTGCTTCATTTCCAGTTGGCTTAATAAGGTGACTGATTTTAAAGCAGAAAGGAGGATCCCATGAAGAAACAAAACTACATTCCTACACGAGGTACCTTCCATGAAAGACAAAGCCTTGCAGGGAGAAATCCTTAAGTTAAATTAATTCAGGTTTAGATGAAGGGTAAAGAGAATTGTATGCTCCAAGGCACTATCAGCTCTTTC